TGTATGATCTTTCTAATGTATTGCTGAATCCGATTTGCTAGGATTTTGTTGAGGATTTTAGCATCTATGTTCATCAAGGATATTGGCCTGTAGTTCTCTTTTTTTGTGGTGTCTTTATCTGGTTTGGGGATTAGGGTAATGCTGGCTTCATAGAAAGAGCTTGAAAGTGTGCCTTCCTTTTGAATTTTTTGGAATAGTCTGAGGAGGATAGGTTTTAGTTTTCTTCTTTGAATGCTTGGTAGAACACCCCTGTAAAGCCATCCGGACCAGGGCTTTTGTTTGCTGGAAGATTTTTGATCGCTGTTTCAATTTCTTTGGTAGTTATCTATCTATTCAGGTTTTTTGACTCTTCTTGGTTGAGTTTTGGGAGCTTGTATTTTTCTAAGAATATGTCCATTTCATCTAGGTTGTCCATTTTGTTGGAATAGAGTTGTTCATAGTATTTTTTCATAATCGTTTGTATTTCTGTGGAATCGGTTGTTATTTCACCTCTTTCATTTCTGATTTTGTTTATTTGGGTCCTCTCTCTTTGCTTCTTGGTGAGCCTGGCTAGAGGTTCATCAATCTTGTTTATCCTTTCAAAGAACCAGCTCTTAGTTTTGTTGATCTGTAATGGGGTGACCCACGGAGACGACCACCAGGGACTCAGATCAAAATTTAGGAGCCTTTATTAAGCTGGCCAGCGACTACAGTTACAGCACCCTGCCGAAGCAGAGGCTGAACTGCAGTGCCGACTACAGGAGTTACAGTGTTTTTATTTGCAAAAACCACAAAGTTAGTTACAAAGCCTTGTTTACACAATTTGTTCCCGACATAGTACAGTATCAGCACAGTGACTACCTTCCTATCTATGTGTTCTAGGAACAGAGAGTACGGCGTGCCCCGTCTGGCCGAAGTACCAGATATGCAGCCCAGCACAGATCTTTTGTATTGTTTTTTTGCTCTCTATGTCATTTATCTCCGCTCTGATCTTTATTATTTCCTTCCTTCTGCTTTTGCTGGGCTTTTCTTGTTGCTCTCTTTCTAACTCTTTGAGTTGTAGGGTTAGTGGCTGTCTCATTTTTAATAATTTTTATGATTGCTTTGGGTTTACACTTTATGTTTGTTTGTTTTTTTAGGGAGAAGTAATAGCCCTGGATAAACTACCCAACAAAGTTAAAAAAATAAAGCAGAATGCTTTATTATTAGGGCTGCATTCCATTAGGGCTTTTTGCTTTGATGGAACAAAGGCACTTAAACTCGATATGGTTAAGGACACAGAAGGTGAGTCAAATTTTATCTTTTAAAGACTTTTACACACAAGCAGATTTTGCTGTCATTGTTCTAGCCTCAAACTATCCACAGGCCTTGAAACTTTGGCATGGATCTAAGATTTTTTGCTTTAATAGATATCTCCTTTTCTTTTCATCTCATTCCTGAATATCAAGTTTTTAATAATTCCAACCCCCAAGACTTGGTCAAACTCTTTTTTCTTCTTTTTTTTCATCACCATTTATTCCCTCTATACCCTCTTCCACCTTCACCCACACCCCTGCCCTCTTGGTCAAGCTTTTTATACTTGACATATTTGTCTTATTTCATAATGCATCTCAGAAAGCTCCCGAGCCTTTCGATTTTATGATTCTTGAGCTATTTTGTATTACTTCTTCATTTTTCTTGAAGAATGGGCCTATGGAGCTGGGAAGGGAGGGAAAAGTGTTACATTTATTAAATCACCTTGTCTCTATGTATCTCTATCTCTTATTTAGATTTGATTTCATGAAATACTCGAGAAAACTGCATACTTTAACGAACTCACTGGCATTAGTTTTTTCCCGAGTGTTTATTGATTAAAGATGAGTATTAAAAAGCTGAGGATGTGGTCTCTGATTTGCCAGCCCCCTTACAGATCATCTAGATCAGTGGTCGTGGACCACTGGTGGTCCGTGAGGTCCGAAAGATTGACGACCGCTGATCTAGATTGCCTTTGTTAGCAAACAAAACTCAAGTAAATTTGAAGATCTAATTGGCTTTATTAAGTTGATTATTGGGCAACATACCATCTAGCAACTGAAAGCTTGCTCCCAGGGTTTTACCAAGGGGAATTTTTTTATAGGAAGAAGAGTGGGGCCAGGACATCATTTCTTTCTCTTTCTGGGAACCTAAGGGGAAAGGTTTTTATCCTGGAGATTGCCTCCTCTTTCTATGGGGAACATAGTATCAAGGGCTTTTAGCATTAAGCAATGCCATTTTGATACTGTGGTTTTCTCTTTAATACCATAAGGAAACATAAAGGAAACATACTCTTTCTAACCCTGTAGTTTTGTTGTAGGCTGCAGAATGGCAACAGGTGTCTGACCAGTGGGGTTAGATCAGACCTGGTTCAGCAATCTCGGTACTTGGATTCTGACTAGGAAAAATTCAGAGCCAAGATTCCAACCATAAGAACATTTACTTGGTAAATCACAGAGGTAAAAGAAGTAATTCCTTAAAGAAATCGGCTTAGGAAACAAGTTTATAGAAGTAAAGGAAGGGCTCTTGGAGCTTGGGAGTGGGGAAGCTAATGGTAATGCGTGTGGAGGGATGGAAAGGGGGAAGGAAAAGAGAAAAGGAAAAGGAAAGGTGTGGGAGTGGGCATGTTCCTTAGGTCCAATGTCCTAAGGGTTTGAGGGGTGGGGATTTTAGGCAGGTCCCAAGGGAAGATCTCCATGGAATATTCAGTAGCTTTCCAGGTGTGTCCTTTCAAGGTTGTGGTCTCCACTGATTAATTGGCCTGCATCAGGGCAGGGGGTCATTATTCAGTGTAGCTGGTCCTGAGGTGGCTTGTCTGGTTTTGTTGCTTTTCTGGGCCTGTGTTGGGGTCCAACCCCAGCGGGTCCAGGGGTCCCCAAAGGTGTGGACGGAGTTGGCGAAGAAGGAATGACATGGAGACAGCCTTCAGTTGATCAGCAGCCTAGCCAGGATCTCTAGCCAAGATCTGTCGCTGGGTTCTCCAGCCAAGTTCTGTCCAGGATCTCCAGCCAGGTTGTGTAGCCATGTTCTCTCACTAGGTTCTCCAGCCAGGTTCTAGCCCGGATCTCCAGTCAGGTTCTGTCGCCAGGTTCTAATCAGGTTCTCCTGCCATGTTCTGTCTAGGTTCTCCAGCCAAGTTCTGTAGCCAGGTTCTGTCCAGGATCTTTTGCCATGTTCTCTCCCTAGGTTCTCTCTCTAGGTTCTGTCTCTAGGTTCTTCAGCCAGGTTCTCTCGCTAGGTTCTGTTTCTAGGTTCTGTCTTCTGTTGTCTTGTTACATCTGTATTTATACCAGTTGATTTTAATCCTATCAATTTCTATTCCAAAGGTTAGGGCGTTTCTTATCTCCATTCCAGGGAGTAAAGATTATGTAGCTTAAGCGTGATTGTTCTTAGTTAAAGTGATTAACTACCCACCTGGCACTTAGTTAAGGGATTTTATTCCCTCCCTAACTTCAGGAAAAAATTCTTACCTGGGGAAACAACCTTTCTCAGAGAGGTGACCTTGGTTAAAACACATAGCGCCAAAAAGGGGAGCAAACATATTAAGAGCAGTATGCCATATATGCCAGGTCCCTTGAAACATATGCTGTGCAGATGTTTCTTCTCTGCAGCGACTGTGTCAAGCAGCAAGGATGGACCGTCTCCCGGCAGGCCTGGAGCTGAAATACAATTGAGGCCTAGATGTTATCTCTAGGGAGGAAAGGTCTGTTGGTCCAAACCTTATGAACAGATATGCTAGGAGAGGAAGGTCACCCTGGAGGGAGGTCCCACCCTATAATTGTCCTTTGCTAGGCACCCAGGACTTTCGGCCCTGGTGACTTCCAGCCCATAGTCCTGGCCCATAGCTCTTGCTCTGCTCATGTCTAACTGCCTACAACAATTTACCTGTATATAAGCTGTCGTTCATAAAAATGACCATTAGACAGGAGACAGTTCAAAATAATCCATTACTCTAACTTCACTAAAATTGTTGTTAGGTCACCAATTTAAACACGTCCCCGTAACATTTCTTATAATACTGGTTTAGTAGTGATGAACTACTTTAGCTTTTTCTTGTTTGGGAAACTCCTTCAATTCTAAAATGATAGCCTTGCTGGATAGAGCAGTCTTGGTTGTAGGTCTTTGCATTTCATCATTTTGAATATTGAATATTTAATGCCAACCCCTTCTGACCTGCAGTGTTTCTGCTGAGAAGTCACTTGACCTTTTTATTGGAGTTCTCTTGTAGGTAACTGACTGCTTATCTTTTGCTACTTTTAAGATTTTTTTCTCTGTCTTTACCTTTGGAATTTTAATTATGATGTGTCTTGGTATGGACCTCTTTGGTTCATCTTTTTGGGATTCTGCATTTTCTGGACTTGTATATTTATTTCCTTCAACAGGTTAGGGAAGTTTTCAGTCATTATTTCTTCAAAAATATTCTCAATCTCTTGCATTCTTTCTTCTTATACTGGTACCCCTATTTTGTGAGTATTGTTACACTTGATTTTGTCCCAGAAGTTAAACTGTCCTCATTTTATTAACTTCTTTTTTCTTTTCTGATTGGCTGTGTTCTGCTATCTTGTCTTCCAGTTCTCTGTTTAGATCCTCTGTTTTATCTAATCTGATGTTGCTTCTCTCTAATGCAGCGGTTCTCAACCTGTGGGTCGCGACCCCTTTGGTGGTCGAATGAGCCTTTCACAGGGGTCGTCTAAGACCATCCTGCATATCAGATATTTACATTACGATTCATAACAGTAGCAACATTACAGTTATGAAGTAGCAACAAAAATAATTTTATGGTTGGGTCACAACATGAGGAACTGTATTTAAAGGGCCAGAAGGTTGAGAACCACTGCTAATGTATTCTTCATTTCTGTTATTGTAGCCTTCATTTCTGACTGCTTGTTTTCTATGGTTTCTATCTTTTTGTTGACATTCTTACTGAGTTCATTTATTTCCTCCCTAAGTTCATTGAGCATTCTTATGACCAGTGTTTTAAACTCTGCATCTGGTAAATTGCTTGTGTCCTTTTAGTTTAGTTGTGTGTTTGTTGTTGTTTTTTTTCCTGGAGCTTTGTCTTTTTCTTTTTCTTTTACTTGAGACGTGTTTCCTTGTCTCCTCATTCTGGCTGACTTCCTGTGTTTGTTTTTATGTATTAAGTAGATCTGGTACATCTTGCATTCCTGGCAGAGTGGCCTGTGTTGTAGGTGTCCTTTGAGGCCCAGTGGTGCAGTCTTTCTGGTCATCTTAGCCGGATTTCCAGGTTTATCCCTTGTGTCTGTTTTATGTGCCCTCTTATTGTGGTTGAGACTTGATTACTGTTGGTATATCAGTGGTTGGGATTGACCTTCTGGCTGACTGCCTATGGATTTGGCCATGGCTACATGGGATGAGCTCTAGGGCAGGGCAATCCCACTGAACAGGAGTCACTTTAGTGGGGGCTCTGGTGTCAGCTGACTCCTCCCTTGCAGTGTGTCTGTCATTTGTGGAGCTGGTTGGGTGGAGGTCTTGTATAGTCTGTAGCCAGCCACTGCCTTTGTTGGTTCTGGAGCCTCTTGGGAGGGGATCTAGTGAATGTCAAGGACAGCTGCCATTTTTGCTCAGTTGGGGTATCTTGTGGGAGCTACAAAGTGATCTGTGGTTTGTTGCCACTTGTACTGGTTTTGGCATGTATTGGAGAGGGTATGCTGTGAACCAAGTTCCGCTGCCACTAGTGCTGGGCTTTGTGACCCTATAGTGGGCACCATGATATGAGCTGAAGGCCAGCTTTCACTTGTGCAGGGCTTGTGGATGCTTAGTTGAAGCTATGTTTTAAGCCAAGGGTGGTCACAAATTTTGCCAGGCTTGGGCCACTAGTTAGGAGTTACAATGCAAGTTGAGATCGCTTGCCACTTATGTCAGGCTTGGCACTTAGCAAGAGGTATACAGGGCATGCCAATTCCAGCTAGTGCTTGCTTGGAATTTGTAGACCTTTGAGAGATTTTAAGAAAGTGCTCAGCAAGAACCTAAGTAGGCCACTCATGTGGAAAAGCTGCTGAAAGATATTCAGACTGGATACACTGGTTGGGTGGGAAGGGGTGTCAGGGAATCACCAGGGTGGCACAAATGTGCTAGCCAGGTAATGAAGAGCTCTGACTTGGCACCTGCCTGCACCTGGCCCTCTGGATGGGAGTTGTGCTCAACAAAGGAGCAATGTGCCTACCAACACTTTCATCCCCAGAGGGAGCTTTCTTAACCCCGGCCTCTCCAGCCCTTGTCCCGAAGCTAGTCAATTTCATTTTTCTCCATGT